CTAAACTGCGTGTATTTACAACTAATAATAGTATTAATTAATAACAATAATACTAATAATTAGTAATGCCCTGTGCAGTGACCGGGGCGCACCGCAGGCGGCCATGGCCACCGGCTCGGACAAGGCCACCTAAACTGGCAACGAGAACAGCACTCAGCGGCTGCAAGCAGGGGCGAATCTCCTAATTACATAGGTATGTTAAACTATGTTATGGGTGTATTAAGAGTATATTATAGGAATATTAAACTATATTATCAGTATATTATGGGCTTTTTAAGGGTACATGATGGGGTTCTGGCACGTGTAGGGCTGGACCGGTGTCCCAGACTGCCGACACCCAACCTGACGAGGTGCCACACTCCCAAGGCAGCTGCCTAATGTGAAGCTTCCAGCGCAGCTCACATCTGCCTCCCGCTGCCCCCATGACCCCAGGCATAGGCCGTGCCTGGAGACAAAAGGGTTTAGGGTTTAGGGTTTAGGGTTTAGGATCAACAGATGTTTTGCACCCGTTCCTGCTGCAATGCGCTTCCTCTCTCTCCTTTCTTCCCCTGAGCGCAGAAACATCTTACCACCTGCCACCGGCTTCCCAAACAGAAGCACCAAGCAGGCTGGGAAGCAGCACTCTCAACGTAGGCTTAGCTTTAAAAGTTCGCTCGGATCTCCCACACAAGGCGCGGGAAGATTCTTCCAAAGGCTTTTTCCGGGTGGGTCTCAGACGACCACTTGCACCTCGCTCCCCTTGCCGCTCGCTTCGCTCGCTTGCTCGCTCCCTTGGCGGCTCCGCGGCGTCACCACCGTCTTTCCTCGCACCACAGTGCGCCGGTCCACTCCGCCTCACAGTGCTGAAGACTTTCTTTAGTGGACCCCTCCTCTACTTAATGCTTTGCAGATCTTGCAGGCGCGGGGCCATGCGAATAGCGCGTGATGGTGATGGTCCTCAGTGCGGGCTCACAGCAACCCGAAGAAAGGCTACGCTACGCACCCCTTTCCAAGCTCGAAGCTGGTGGTTGATGACCACATCCATGAAGCCGTAGGCATCATCCTGCAAAAAGGGAGAGGCTTCAACCGTGGCATTAAAAAGTCGAACATCCCTACTTCTCTGGCGCCTCACCCGTTTTGGTTGGCAATTGGTCAGCGGTGATGCCACCGCCACCCCCAGAGATGACATAGGTGGTGCCTCCACGAGCCGTGCCAAGGACAACGATTGCTTTTTGCATTCCATTTCTGGGCAGCATGATTTGAAGACTATGAAAGACTATACCGATGATCAGGACCGTAACTAGCTAGGCATCTTCAAGGCAAGGGCTACAAGTTGGGCCATCGGGCCCAGTAAAGTAGTGTGGCTTTGCTTTCGCATTGAGAAGTAGTCTAAGGCAGGAAGGACACCTAGGCAAACGCCGCATAGCAGCCCAGGCGGCCTCCGAAGTCGTCGCTTTGGTGCACTTGCTGTAGGTGCGTGTGGCCGCTGATGTAGAGGTCGACGCCATACTTTGCCTTTGAAGGCAGATTTGGGAGTTTCCCTAAATAGGGAGACTTAGGGAGACCCCAGTGTAGACCCCAACATACTCTAATCCTTATTATGGGGATCCCTCGAAAAGGTACCCCAAATTTTAGGAAACCACCATTTTTGAAGCGCCGGGCGGAAAAGCAATGCGAAGGATGCAGAGGCCCTGGGCCCCGGGCCAGCATGGAATCCCAGGCTTCAGAGCGGCAAGGCTCGAAGGTGGGCGGATAATGCGTCACCAGAATCCTCAAATACAGGGGGATTTAGGGGTTATATAGGGATTATGGAAACTACTATAGTGTACTAGGGATTATATAGGGGCTACATAGGGGTTATGTAGGGATAATGGAAAAGAAAATGGAAACTACTATAGTGTTCAAGAAGTGGGAAGCCCCAATATGGATCCCAAAAATACTATAAACCTTATTATGGGGATCCCCGGAAAGGTACCCCCAATTTTTTGGGAAAAACTCCCAAATGAAAAGCGCAGGGCTTTGTTGAGGGAAGCACAGTAAACCCTAAACCCCAAATCCTAAACCCTAAACCCTGAACCCTAAACCCTAAACCCTAAACCCAAACCTCCCTTCCCCTGCTTCCGGGGCACTGCCACTCTGCGCGCGAGGCTTCGAGTTTGTCAGCCAACCACTTCTTCTGCTCCTGAAAGCCACGGGATACTCACCCTCACCAACTACTATACTATAATGTAATATAGAATCTACTATAACACAATATAGAATATACTATAATATAATATAGAATATACTATAATACAACATAGAATATACTATAACACAATATAGAATCTACTATAATACAACATAGAATATACTATAACACAATATAGAATCTACTATAATACAATAATAGAATCTACTATAATATGTAGCTATCTCCTAGCATGTTATAGAAACCCTACTGGGGCCACAGCAAAGAAACAGCTCTCTTCCCCGCCCCTTTTTTTTCCAGCTCCGACTTCTGGAGGGCACACGCGAATTCTTTTTTAAAGGACGGGAGGGGAAGGGGTGTTTATTATTATGTGGAAAGTCATATACTTACTTGCAGAAAGAATAACATAGTTTCATAATGCTTTAGCATAATTTCATCTTAAGGAATTACAAAAGAAAGCGGATTTATGAGTATGGCCTCAGAGGATCCGGGGG